TTGGAGAGAATCCACTGGGAAATGGCTGCTGGAGAGATAATCTGGCCTTCCCAGGCCACTGACTTCTTCTTAATTGTGTTTTTCAAGTGGTCAGACTCAGAAGAAGACTCCACACAGCAAAATACTCCTTGAAGTCAAAATAAACCTGTCTGTGTTCACCAGGATTAGCACCACAAAATATCCTAATCTGCTAGAAATTATCTCTGACCCATACAACTTTCCAGTTATTTCATCTAGAGAGCATCTGAAGCCGTCAAATCAACACATAGCTATTTGAAACCTAAAAGTTCTGGAAGAACATTTCAAATAAACCTAGTTTTTGTTGTGAATCTGCATAAAAGTATATTAACCAATCGCTTAATTGTAATCCTCCTATCATAGCACATACAATATGACATGGCATAACAGACTGCATGAAGTTTTAAAATTTCCTATTATCCCTAGTTAGAAATTTTCCCACATTAACCAAGATTATGATTCATTTATCTGAAATCATAATTTCAGACATTATTTTCACCAAATATTAATCACACTGCTTTTAAAGCGCCCCAATTCCAAAAGAATTGGGTTTTCTACTGTTGGATTTAACAAAATATTGGGCTGGGGTCCCCAACCCCCGGGCTGCGGACTGGTACCAGTCTGGGCCACACAGCAGGAGGTGAGCAGCAGGCCAGTGTAGCAGCTTCATCTGTATTTGCAGCCACTCCCCAGAGCTAGCATCACCGCCTCAGCTCCACCTCAGGTCAGGCTTTAAATTCTCATAGCAGCACCAGTCCCTGGTGCCATAAAAGGTCGGGGACCGCTGATAGTGGGTACTGCTATGGCTCACATCTTCACTGGTATTATCAAAACAAGACTGCACATATTAAAATTGTTTTTAAAAGCTCAATTTGCATAAATGTTAACGTGAAAATGTTTCTATAATGTACATGTTTAGTATTTTAATACATAGTTCCTCTTAGGACAAAATTTGGATGGAGCTAGGGTAGAGACTATGGTATGAGTAATACGAATGTGAATTCTACAATGGTGTTCTAAAAGGAAGGTATCCGACTGTGTGCTGTGCTCACTCAAAGAAGCATCTTAGGATATTTTAAATTTTCAAGGAAAACATAGCAATATCTGTTAGATACTAGACTAGCTACTACTCTTATCTGGACCTGACTGCTTAATGAAATGAACAATTATGTATTTCTTTTGGCCTAAGGGCGCCATGGAAAAAATACCAAGACCCAAGGCATTAAGAACTAACAGAGTTTGGGACCTTTCTGTCTTAAGTGTTTCGTTCAAAGGTTTTTGCTTTGATTTGACGGGGGAAATGGAGGAGATATTAACCCAGGGAACGATTTCCAATATCTAATAACTCTTGTCTATCTTCCCTGAGTAATTTTTGGGAAAGTATATGCCTGGCTGATGATATATGTACTGTTTGAAAGAAGGAAAAACAAGCACATTTATTTTCTACCAGCGAGAGCCCCAGTATCTTTCCACAGAGGTCACCCTGAGACTATTCAGCCTGGGAGAAAAGCCATCTGGTCTAATATCTGATAGGAAGTGAAAGACACAACATGTTATTATGTCCGTGTAGATTCCAAAAAAAGACTTGGACAAAAGATAAACATACATTATTACACACTGTAAGGATCTTAATATAGCTTTGGAGACCAGGGACAATGACAGAACTGGGTCACTCCGACCTCCGTTTAGAGTCTCAGAGTGTGGCTCCAGTATATATTCTTTTTTTTTTTTTTTTTAAGTTAGAATGCTAACACTAACTCCTTTAGTTTTAGTTAAAACAATTTTTAAAAATGCAGAGCCCTACTTAAAAAAAAAAATCTGTTCTCCAACCCTAGAAATCCAGATTATGGTCCCACCAAAAGAGAGCTGGGCTCCTTGGAGAAATGGCTGATCCTAGGTCTGGGATAGGCAATGTACAAAATGAGCCTAGAACACGTTGCCATACCAGACAGCACAGTAGCTATCGAAGACTACTAGACTGTGTCAAAAATCTGGGTGCCAGCTTGAAGAGGCTCCGGCTGGCTAAGGGTGGGATGATTTGAATATTAATAAGGATATTAACTACAAGGTGCTAGCTTTTTAGAGAAAGCGTTTATTTTTCTCCTTTGAAAGTCTGAAAATAGGTATAGAATAATAGGTTAAGTTTTACTTAAGCTTACTGATAAAATTTGTTAAAATAGTTGTACTTTTCAGGTGGACCTCCCCAGCTCTTCTAATAGGCCTCTTTTCATGAGTTTATTTATTATTTAACAAAAACAAAAACAAAAAACACCTCACTGGTTGACACTAGAGAATGATGGACCTACTTGTCACTCTGAAATCTGATACATAAAGAGAATAAAACCAAGTATATTTATCCATGTCACAAACGCTACTGGATAAATAGTACAGGAGGGAAAGCTTCTCCTTATAGGAATTTCCCAGCTAATAAATGAAAAAGGAATGATCGAATGTCACCATATTGTAACCCCCAGAGAATCAATGAATCTATGCATTAGGTAGCAAGGGTTGCAAACATCTCGGAAAAACAGATTCAACCAGATGTTATCTGCCTCCTGGTGGAAGAACAAATGATCAACTATGAAGTAATCTCGGAAAAAAAAAAAAGGAATATGAATATTAGAAGACTCTAGATCTGATTTACTAGAAATACAGAGGACTACATTATAGGTATACAATTAGAAAAATCTAGTCTGGCACAAACTTGTTTCTTTAACAAAAAATTTTAGAAATTTAAAATATATACTGACCTACGGATCCTGTTTCAAATAAACTGCTAGAAAAATCATGATATTTTTGAGACAACTGGAAATCTGAGCACTTACTGCATATTTTACAATATTAAGGAATTATTTTATGTATAATAAAAACACTTTAAAATAACCACAATACCATTATATTTAAAAGCTGAGACTTCAGGTGGTGATCTAGCCCTATATTTTGGAATAAACTATCAATGCAACTGAGTTATGAGAAATGATAAATCTTCCTTTCCCAGGAATACCAATCTTTAAAAAAATTAAAAGGCTCCCTGGGAACTTTGAGAAACTAGTAACATTATCAGCAGCAACTCAGTTTCCTTATCTTAAAAATGGCAAGCTGATAAAGAATGACTGCTTCGATAATGACCAACAACCACCATCAAGCAATTCCTCAGCATCTTATGTCAACACACTAGGAAATAAGCATAGTTGGCACTAGTTTATGGTCCCAAATCCTAGTTACCACAAACTACTGCCAAATTGGAAGCCTTTCTAAAGAATAGAGGCCTGTACTTGGAAAAGCTAGGGATGTCCCTCCCGTTAAAAAGCACAATGTATTCTGAGATTTCTTTTTTAAGAAAAAAAGATAACTAAATACTCAGTAACCCAGAAAGAAAAAATTCTTTAAGCCAGTAATTTTATCAAAATTACAATAATTTTGAATAGTTAAAAGAAATGTTAGTTAAAAGTTAAAAGTCAGTACATTTCTTTAAAGAGATGTACTGACCCAGGAGAAATTCTTAAAAGAATTTAGTAGAACACGTATTACTGTAATCTGTGCATAGTATTCTGCAGACCTCAAAAAGAGTCTGCTAAGCATCTGGGTATGCTGAGTTTTGTGCATCTGATCATGGCAGAGCTTGTTCTTTTTATTTTTACTTTCATTTTTATTTTTATTATGGTGACACTGGTTAACAAAATCCAGTAAGTTTCAGGCGTACAATTCAACAGTAAGGCACACATATAAATTGTATTGTGTGTTCACCGCCCACAGTTAGATTTCTTTGTCACCACATATTTGACCTCTTTAACCCCACCTACTTCCCCCTCCCTTCTGGTGACCATTAGTCAGTCTATTGTCCATGTCCATGAGTCACAGAGTCTCTTCTTAAACCACTGCTCATAGACTTTGAGTCAACTAAACAAATGTCTGGCGAGTACTTAGGAAAGCTATTCATGTATAACATGCTTTCTCTCAGAAATTCCATTGAGTTCTCAGTAATACCAGCTGGTATCTGTATATTTAATATAAAGTATAAAATTGTTTTATTTCCATTTATATACAAAGAAGTAAAGGCAAAAACAGGTTAAATTATTTTAGTAAGGTCACAGAGTGAGCATGTCACCAGAACTTATAAAACAAAGCAAAATATGAAACTCTGTTCTGGTTTAGACTTGACATACCACTTATATTTACCCTGCATTTGTCCTGTCCATTCTATCCCCTCCTATTTTATCCAGTTTGAACCATCCACATGTTCCTATCATCCATCACCATCCTTTTTGTTAGTCACTCCTTGAACCTATACAGAGAACTGCGTCAGGCACTGCGCTGAATGCAAAGGTGATGGACACACAGGGAGGTTAATACCTAGAGGACTTACACTTTCATCTTACCACGAGCCACGTAGTTTATAATAATTTACATAAAGTACAGATGATTCCCAGGACTCTTCCAGTGAAGACATGTTTTCCAAAATCATATCTGATAGGTTAAAAATTTTAAGTATAAACAACTAGTAGCAGAACACAGATCATCTAAATTTTTTACTCAGGTTTTCACATGAAGGGCATATTTAAAGACATAGTAACCTCTGCCATTCTTACTTCTTTACCTATATCACATTTCTAAGTTTAATTTCAGATGTCAAGTGAGATAGTATAGTCGTAGTGAGATAGTATGGTTATACTATGCCGAATTGATATCTAGAATTATATACGATGGTTTCATAATTCAGGTTTAAGATACATAAATATGGAGAAGGTACATATATTACCTACCTGTAATATTTTTTAAAATAAACCAGAAGTTGAGCCATCTGGATTTTAACATACTTTAAGGAAAATGAAACATATTTTATGTAACTATGAATCTTCAGATTACAGGATTTCAGCTGTGGTATGTTTCGACCACAGTTAAAAGGTAGCAAACACTAGAAACACAGAAGCCCTCATATCGTGGATGGGAGAGACCTCCACAGTAACTGACATCACACCTACCGTTGTGTCATTGCTGGTAACATAAACCAGGACGTCAGACGAGTTCCTGCCGTTGATGTATCGGTAGCAGTTCCAAACACAGCTAATCAAGTAACCCTGAAAGTGAGTGGTGATTATTAGAGCTTTAAATTTCTAACCTCGGACAATGTCAAACATCATCTTACATTAAAGCTATTACAAAACTTTTATTTACATAAATTATAAATGCACATATTGACTCCACTAAACTAAAAGTCTTTAAAAATCACGAATTTTGGATACAGCAAATTTCTGGCAAAGGGTGCTACTCTAACCTTATTCTGTCCCACCACCACCTTCTGGGAGGGGAAGGACTGAGAGCAGGAGAAATTTCTAAGAAAAAGTAGCTGGAAGGAACAATCGCCAAAAACACTTACTGCTCCAAGATTCACAGAACAAGTCACCCATTTCTCACCATATTTAACTCAGGGTCTTTGGGATTTTTATTGTACATGATTATAATTTTGTTATCAAGTCAATTTTTTTAAGAAAGGTTTACAGAATATAAGTTTGCTAAATAGTCAATAAAATTCGCTTTAAAACATTTCCATTTTCATAATGAAATACCCAAAAAAGATAAATTAATGTCCAGAATAAAGACACGCTAGAAACAAAGCCTGAGTTCACAGAAGATATCTGAACTAGGAACACTTTGCACTTTCGTGTCAATCATTTGCTGTTGGATCAGAAGTAAATAGTTTAAAAATCCCTTTTTAGCTTTAAAATTCTTTGATTAAAAGAAGTCTAAAGATGTGGAAAAACTGGAACCCTCATATATTGCTGGTGGGAATTTAAAATGGTGCAGCTGCTTTGTAAAACAGTTTGGCGGTTCCTCAAAAGGTTAAACAGAGTTACCGTATGACCCAGCAATTCCACTCCTAGATATATGTCTGAGAGAAATGAAAACATTTCCACATAAAAACTTGTACACAAATGTTCATAGCAGCATTATTCTTAACAGACAAAAAGTGGAAGCAATCCAAATTGGCATCAACTGATGAATGGATAGATAAAACGTGATAAAATGGAACATTACTCAGAAATAAAAAGGAAATTCTGATATATGCTACACAGGACATGAATGAACCTTGAAAATATTAGTCTAAGTGAAAGAAGCCAGGACCACATGTTGTATGACTCTATTTATAGGAAATATCCAGAATAGGCAAATCTATACACACAAAAAGTAGGTTAGAGGTTGCTAGGGGTAAGGGTTAGGGTAAGGGTAAATGGCACATGATACAAAGGTTCTGGAATCACAAAGATGTGATCACACAACTCTGAATATACTATAAACCAGTGAATTCTATACTTTCAATGGGTGAATATTATATCAAATTATATCTCAGTGAAGTTGTTCTATAAAAAAAGACATTTAAGGACATTTAACAGAAGAGTAACAAAATATCTGTAGTATTATACTCAGAATGCTGTCTTAAGCTGCATTTGTACTTGGTGGTGATCACTTCTTACATTTAAATTTTCTGTGGTGATAAGATGACAATGTATAATGCTATTTTTAAAATTGTTTCCTGAACTGCAATAATCTGAAATCATGAACAATGAGACAGAGAGAGATGGAAAGGGCATATTTCTTGAATAATGTACACAACATATTCAATTCACTCAAATCTTAGGTTTACCCAATGTTATTCTTTACGGAAAAAAAGCCCCAGCCTTTTTGAGAATTTCAACACAAATGGAAAAGGAATGTATGAACATATTATTTATGTGTTACGAAAGATGAGCCACTCATTATTTTAGCAGTAAACAGGAGATTCTTTAAAACAAGAACTTTCTGATGGGAAGCCTCTAAAATGACAGCTCTGTAACAGAGAGGTTAGGCAGCCGAGGGGAAGTGCCTGGTGTTGGGCCTCATGAGCCCGCAGTAGGCATTCACTTACTAAACGTTCCAGTAGGAGAGAAACCTCTGGCCTACTGTCTCTAAAAACCCACTAACTTATTTCAGAGACTTTATTTCTTATTTCACATTTCTGTAACCTGAAACAGAGAATTAAATGTTTAGTGTATTTCCCAAATAAACTTGCACTGACAAATTACATCCATCATCGACTTGCAGAGCTCGGTATTAAGACTGCCCCTTCTACTTTCTTGGGACAGAGCGAAACTGACCTGTGTCCTGGTTTGGGCTCCCAGGGAACTGGTGTGCTGATAACTCCACTGACGAGTAATAGTGAATTTAGATTGTGAGAGCCAGTAATTGGGGAAACCGATGCGTGAAACCACAGCACATTTACCCGTATTTGTTTAAATAAATGATTACTGAGTCTCTATGTTTGAGGCATCAGCTTAGTGCTAAGAAGAATAAAAAAATGAAGGCACAGTCTATGTTTTCAAAGAAATGCAATCTAGTTAAGGAGATAAATATGTAAATAAATAAATATTAAAATGAGTACACGTTTGCCACAGGTTGGAAATAGTGCTGTGAACAACTTGTATGATGTCTTTTCGTTATGATAATAGTGTTTTGAAATTTATAAAAATACCACAGGGCAGGGATTTTTCTGATTTACTATACAGCCCAGTGCCTAGAACACAGCCTGGCACAAAGGAGGTTTACTCCTAATAAATATTTACTGAATAAATGAATGAATGATGCATCTTCCCATACATCAGCTCACTTAAACCTTACAATCACCCTACAGAATGTTTTCTTAACTATTACTGCTATTTAGTAAATGAAGAAACCGAAGCTCTAGTCACAGCTAACAACAGCAGTGACAGAAGTTAAGTCTAGGTCCTCTGACTCAAAATCTCAAGTAAACATTTCCAATACAAATGAAAACACCTACGAAATTAAAATGCCTTTTTAAAGAGCACTGGGAGGTTCCAGCTTCTGAGCTTTTGGGAATGGCAGAGACTAGCTTCATCAGATGAACCTTCTTGGAGGTAAAAATGATAAAATCTGGAACACACACACACACACAATCTGAAGGCAAGGGTGAGGCACCCCGAACAGGCAGAAGCTAAATGGGAGTCTACCCTTGAAAGACAAAGTATAATGAGAGTTCGTGGCCTTGTGTCAGGGGTCCTGCCAATACTACATGCAGCTTGGGTGGTCTGGAGTGACAAAGGACAATATTTGAGGTTGACTGAGTGATCGGAAAGTGGGTGGTGGGGTAGCATGAGCTGCAGAAGTGGTAAGCCTCAACATCGGTGTATAAAATTTGCCCAAATCCTTGACCACTAAAACTACACATGCAGTATCAAAAAACTGCATGTGTTTTATAGGGAAAAATGTAGATCCAAATGATTTTCAATAAATCATTTTCTCTCTACCCATTTTCTTCGTATTGCCTATTTAAAATAATCTTCTCCTTAAATGCAGCTTCCTCAAGCTTACTGAGGGGTGATTCTGGAAAAATTAGGTAATTTTATGCCCTCCCCCCCCAAATATATATATATATATACAATGGAAGATATTAAGAATTAAAAGTTCAAGTCCAATAATGATTTGCAAATTTTCTTATTAGAACACAGGTATGAATTATAATGATGCTTTTATTATTAGGTTTACAAAGATGAAAAGGAACAGAGAGCACTCAGTTGATGAGGATGAGAAGAAACAGTGCTGTGGGAGTGTTAAGTCACTCACCTTTTACGGAGCTCAATTTGGCAACCTAACAAAAGCCTTCAAATTATGCATACCCTCTCATTTAAAAAAGTGTATCTTGAGGAAAAAATGCATAAGCATATGAAAGATATATTTAAACATATTCATTGCAGCAATATTAATGACTGAAAAAGTAGAAACTGTCCCAATATCCAACAATAAGTAATTTATCAAATAATGATAAATTCATATAATAGATTGAATGATGTTCAGAATATACTGCATTTTAAAAACAAATTACAAACATTATAATGAATGTTGTAGCATATAATACATACTACATAATGCATAATATTATATTAACTTATTCTCATCCTAATAGATTTTGGAATAACCCTTGACTGTCCTGTGGAAGTTTGATTAGTGTTTATCACTCACATAGGTAAGAGAAAGGCAGAATTGTTAGGAAGTCAAAAGCAGTTCAGATATCAAAAGCAGTTCAGATATCTATAGTGAGCTGACTGAAGCTTGTTTACTTCTTTGGCATACATGAATATGTTTAATAACATTTAGGCAATAAGTAAAATCTTCATTCTTACCTTGAAAGTCAAGATAATGCTGATAAACAGAAGAATAATAAGGACCAGACAGGTAGGATTCACTGACATGATATCATCTTTGTGGGGAAAATTAGGAGGCTGCAAAAGACAAGTGTCTCATTAGCAAATCTCATTAATCACTCAGGATTATATTCCTAAGGCATTAATCAGATGTGCTTATCAGAGAACAATTAGTTAAAGCAGACAGTTATTAAAGACCACTACGAAATTTCTAGCCCACCTCTGCTAATGAAAAGGCATAACGGTGGGATGAGAAGAGGCTATCTGTTCATATTTCAGGCAATAACTCTCGAAAAGAAAAATCAGAGGAAGGTTCATGAATGAGTGAGACCTGAAAACATAATTTAGTCCTCCTACTATCCAAAAGTCAGAAGTCAGTCCTTACATATCTCTGATATTTGTATTTTCTGCAAATTCTGGACCACTCTAAAAGGCTTGTACAAGGGACAGAAACCTATTAAAATAGTGTCTTCTTTATATAGAGCATTTTTGTTGGTGCTATTTCTCCTCAAAGAGCATAATCTTTTAGACTAGTAGGAATTCACAGTACTTAAAAAAATAGTCAAGTCCTATCATCTGACCATATTGATTAACTATCGGATCAAAGGAGACTTTTTTTGGAAGATCAGAATCTGCTACCGTGGTTAGTGGGAGGGGCAGAACTTCTCCATGGGACCTGCGCAGCACTGAAGGAAGCCCCACATTTAACTGGTGTAGAGAAGTGTGCAGGAGGGCAGTCCAGTGTGCACTGTCACCTTTTATCTCTTCTTCATCAGCCAGAACAAGTGATGAAGAAGAGATACTACGTGCTTGAATTCCACATTAGCAGTATTCTGAGACAAAGAAGTTCCAAATGCTAAGGAAGAATACAGAGAAAACTCATGACACGTGCTTGACTCCTCCCCAGGGTGAAAACATCACCCAGTGATTTTCCGTCTCCTTTCACTTTGGGCAAAATACCTAAGAAATAAAATCTAAGTCATTCTTTGTGACCAGCTCATGAAACTAGTGCCTTCCCTTGGAGCCTGGAAGGGTTTTTGAATACTGATCTTAAAGGGTAAGAATACATGAAATCATATTGTTTCTGTGACTAATTAAAAAACAGGGAATTAATGTGGAAGTATGTGATCCTTTCCACAAAGATCTTTATATTTTTTCCCCCAGAAAAGTGAAGGTGGTTTCTATGCCCAGTTAAGACTCATAAAAACACTTCCACAATTTATTTGAACTGCATTTTATAAGACTCCACACAAACAAAAAAGGCATTAGAATTAAGTGGATGCTCTCTCACAGCTGTCTCAGTCTCTCTAGACTCATTATATTTCAACTTGTCAACAAGAATCAGTGGAATTTGAACATTCCTTCTCTTACTGTCTCTTAGGCACTGTGATAATCTGTAGGCCTCACTCTTTCAGCCCAGACTGATCTTTAAGTAGAACATATGAAAGATGCTCACTTGTATTATTTGGTTTGTAATTACAAATAAAAGCAGATGGTGATTTTTTAAAAAATGTTATTAAATTACTGTCAATATCACCAATATTATCATTTTACTACTAGTGGCTCTAAAGCAAATGACTACAGAGTAACTGAACAATGTGGGGTATAAAAGAAAATCTAGGTAGCATTCTCAGTGTTCCAAAGGCTTGCCTGCATATTGGGCTCAATGCGCCTTCTAAATCTCTGCACTATATAGGCTATAGCACAATATACTATTCAGATAGTCACGAGGCTGCCATATGGCTTGTCTTAGTATCTCCTTCATCAACACAACCCCTTCCCAGGCCCCTCACACGACAGGCTACGTTGAGATCGGGTTTCCTCCACACTTCCAAGGTTGATTTTAGGACCCCCGCACCAGAGCATCGATACAGAGTAAAAACACAGAGGATTTTGTACAACCTGCTCGTCACATATAAACCCCTTCATGCACAAAACTTGGCTGTACCACAAGGGATAATGTAAAAAATTAACACATGGGAAATATGCAAAAATTTTCTTGACACAATGTTCTTCCAAAAAATGGACTTGTTATCTAAAAGAAAGAAGCTATTACTAACAAGAATGACATCCACAATAACAGCTGAGATACTTTTAAGGAGCTAAACACTAGAGGCTGTTCATTCTGTCTGCCGAGCACCAGTTACATGATCTGGGCCGATGCCACAAGATCACAAACTTCTGTTGCCACATGTCCTCTCCCTCCACCCCTCTGTTTCCCACTGAATCTCTTGGCCTCCACATCAAATCCCCAGTCTTGTCTCTCTCACCCCAGAAAGTCCCTGCTCATTCCCCTACGTTCAGACACTATTAAAATCTCCAAAGAGTGAACATTCCCTCCATTTGGAACATTCTAGGATTTTGAAGAAACTGAATTTTAAGACACATTTATAGTTTAAAAATTGAAAAATATAAAGACACGGAGGTATTCTAATCTCACACGTTCTACAAACTTCTTAATATCCAGTCATCAATATTTACACACACAGTCACAAAGGACATTTAACCGAAAACTAATCCCAAAAAGACGCTTGGGGAAGAAAGAGTTCTACGGTCAAATAAGTTTGGGATGCAGTATACAGTAGAGTTCTACTTTTCCCATACAACACAGAGGCAAAAAGCTATCCTTTGCTGATAACTGAGCAAACTGCATTGTACAAAAACAAGACAATTAACAACTAGATTATAAGTTAGGTAAGTGCATCTAATACCATCATCACAGCTACCAACTTATCTCAGGAGGTTATGTTTTTCCAGAAAAGCACTCTAACAAACTAAAAATCTTATCTTCGAGATAACATTCAAAAATCTTTAATCGCTAACTCAGATACAAGTTAAAAATCCACAGATCAATATGCGTCATGTCCACCTGAACACCCCTCAATCCCTCACTTTACCAGCAGCTTCTCCTGGGAAGAGAAGCAGCCATTGGGACAACCACATACCAGCTGCCGTATGTATTCCTGAATGGAGTTCGGGTAAACAAGCACAGTGACTGCAACCAAGGTGTTGAGAGCAAAATCAAAGATCTGGTAACAGAAGAATGGGATGATCCAGGCGGCATGTTGCTAAACGTAAGAGAAGATACAGTGTTAATGCTAATAGGTTCAATATTACAAAACACAACTTTTTCTTTTTTTTAATTCAGAGAAATCTTTTCTTAATCTTTAGGGAAATGGAGGAATAGCAATTAAACCAGGTCATGATGGCAACTGGTAAGCCAAACAGAAGGAGGCAACAAACGAGCCTCAGTGAACATGTCTGAGAAGTAACATTGGTTTTCCTAGTACCACGTAATAGCACCGAGATTTAAACTTCCAAAGGTTCTTACAGAAAACTGAGAATGATTACATCTTACTCCTTGTAGATAGCTGCACAGATTACACATGACAGAGACTGAGGAAGAGGCTCAGCTTATTTCAAAGCCGCTTACCTTGTATGCTCCATAAGTAGCCATTGCACATATCAGGATCATAAGAAGAGAAATTGCAATAGCAATGCACATGTCTGCCAAAGGTTAAAAAAAAAAAAAATCAGTAATAGATCCACTGTTTAAACATTTTTTTAGTCTCTCCTCAAAGGCATTTTGTTTATAAAGCAATTATAAGCGAGAACTTTATACTAAGCAAACTACAAGAGTTCCTTTGGAATTTGAGAAGGTGATAGTTAATGAAGATAAAGTCCTCAAAAGATGTTCTTCCTAAATCATACAAATGCCTATAGATAAGAGATTGATTTACATGTAAGTTTATTTTTCAAAAATGGGAAAGAGATATTAGTTACACATACATAAAGTTTGGTCTTCTGGTCCACTGAATTATATAGACACACACACACACACACACACATATGTATGTATTTATATAGTATTTTTTTTTAACATATAGGTGTCTAACTTGTATTTTATAAACTCACATGTGTCTTATGCCCCTATTAACACCCTCCAGTGACTTCCCATCTCTTTTATTAGAAAGGCTCAGTTTCTTATCATGGCCTTTATGTCTGTTTATTCTACGGCAAGCCTATTCCTCCAATCTCAATTTACCTCATCCCATACTTTTTTGTTCACTATAATCCAGCCATACCATTTGGGTCATTAACACAGCCAGATTATCTCACTTTAGGGCAGTTCTCATTGAACAGAAGAAATGTCACTCGTCTTTTCACATGATGAGCTCTGCCTTTTTAACCATTCAGGTCTCTGTTCAATGTCAACACCTCTGAGATATGCTCCCTCCCGGGCACGTTCACATTACTATCGTATTTTCTTTCTGGCACACATCACTATTATCTTACTCATATTTGTTGCGTGCCGTCTGTCTCCCTCCGCTAGAGGAAACTTCCTGAGAGAAAGGACTTTCTGTATCATGTTCACGACTACAACCCCAAGAGTGAGGGGACAGATGTCCAGTATAGTCACCACTAGCCCTATGTGGACATTGACCTTTTGAACGGAAGTCAATCTGAATTGAGATGTGCTTTAAGATTAAAACATGCTCCAGATTTCAAGGCCCTAGTACAAAAAAAGAACGTAAAATAATTTTTATACTGATTACATGCTGAAATAATATTTTGCATATACTGAGTTAAATATATTATTAAAGTTAATCTCACCTGTATTTTTACTCTTTTAAATGCAGTTACTAAAAAATTTTAATACATATGCGCTATTATTAATTTTCTATTGACCAGCGCTGACCTAGAACAATACCTATGTCATAGGAGGCACTAACTGAACACTTAGTACCTACTAAAGAGGCCATGTTACCACATGTTTAGGAGATCCTGATTAGCAGTATGGTATGACTGGTTTTACGACTAGGTTTCTAAAGGTAGTGAGTGGGGTTATCACTAGCTAGTCTTCCTAACTCTGAGGTAGATGGTATTGTTCCCACAGAACAGATTATGAAACTAGGGCTCAGAGGTTATGTGACTTGTTGAGAGCATGTACATCAAAAGACTGAATTATGACTAATCCTGCTCTTATGATTTCGGCCTCTGGCTCTTTCTACTACACTGTGCTGCTTCTACTCATGTTTTGAATACTGACCATGAACCAACCTGGGCTGCCGCTCCCTCCAGATTATTTCTCCAAAGAAAAGCATTCTAGTTTTAGAACCATCCTCTGTGTGTCCTCAGCTTCAAGGATGAGAGCACATTGTAAGTAAGAGGTTTACAAACAGAAAGCACAGGGTGAAAGTACACTCACTCTAGGACAGAAATGCAGATGTGTCAACGAAGACCATTTGCCATCTTAAAAAAATGAAGGTTCTTCAAATTCATCTATAGAGTCAGTGTAATAAACTTATAACGATGCTGATGATTTTTATTAAAGGAGTAAAAATTTGATTCTCAAAAAAGAAAAATAAATGAAGGTTATAACAGCCTCAGAGGATGATTCATACTAGCTGGTATGTAAAAGATCATGACTTCTTTCAGGATACATACATATTTTATAGTTTATTTTATAATTTCAATGCTAGATTAACTTATCTTTTTCCTCTAGTGAAGGAAGAGGTATCTACAAAAAAATTTCATGTATGCCTCATAGTATGGCCAGTGGAGGGAATAAACTGAATTGCATTTTAAATGCTTTAAGTGCAAAGGGGAAGCCTCTGTTTATACACCTATAGACATACACATACATGCATCCTAGTGCTGTTATCTGCATGCGAAGCAATGGGGGTATTAGTCTCGTTTGTTTTTTCTTCCTGCATAAAGCTGTGACCACAATGGAATGTACGTTGTCAACGTTTGTTCTTCTCCATTTATAAGTAAGTGTGTTTCTTTTTCCCTCAGTGAACTAGGCACTGTTATTTCATTTAAACTTTTAACAACCTTAAGACTTAGGTACTATTATTAGATCCCCATTTTAGAAAAGAAAAAGATGAGTAAGAGGCAAGTAACTTGCCCAAGATTGTCTAGCTAGTAAGTGGTGAATGAGACAGTCTACCTAAGAAGTCTAACCCCAGAGTCAGTATACTGCCTAGCTGTGAAGGAAGTGGATCAAATGCAATAGTGACGGACAAAATGCTGGGAAAATCCTATGGCCTCTGTCAAAGGAGCTGGACGTCAATAACCACTTATTATGTGCAAAGCATATAGCAATCTCTGAAAATTAAACTCAGACAGAAGTTTATTATTTTCTTCTTTGTCTACTTTGATGGTTTTCAAATTTTGTACAAGCATATTTTATAATGAAAAAAATTAATTTTATGGAAACCAAACCTCATAGGCTATTCTTTTTTTTTTTAAGGCGAGGCACCCCTTAGTTGACCTTACAGATTGCAAGGACCTTGTCAACTTACTATCTCTTATTTTTTCTTTTCTACACCTACAGCACCTGGTGTTCCTAGGTGGCGTCCCATCCAAGTACTATCCAGGCCCGATCCTGCTTAACTTCCGAGATCAGATGGGATTGGGCTTGTTCAGGGTGGCATGGCTGTAGACTTTATAGGCTATTCTTTGACTACCTCATAGATCTTAAAAGACACAGATAAACAAGCAAGCAAACTCAAGGCTTTATTCCAAAAATACAAATATTAATGTAATGTGTATTAATATAAAATATTGATATAACAAAAATAATAATCTTAATGAGAACTGCAGGTCTTATTCTGGGGGGGAGAGGGAAACACTCCAGAATTAAATCTCACATAATCATGAAAAAATTTTAAATTTCTACATTTTTCAAAGAATATAAAACTCAGAGAAATTTAAAAGGTACCAATAAAAATGAAAATCATAAAGTATTCTGTCTGCACTCAAAATGAGATACTATTTATCACAAAAATGTTAATTTGAGATGAGGAAAGTTTCAAAATTCTATTCCTATAAATGATTTACCAACCACTCCGAAAAGACTGAATATATCACAGTGAAATGGCTTAGGTAGAACCAAAGTGTAAATCAAATGGAAACACAGTAGATAATATAAAACAGGGTAATAACATTCTATCTCCTGGCACATCAATTCATTTGAAATAATGCGTAGCATACCATGGTAATTATGACAGTTACTTCGAGGAATTAAAAGTCATTCCTTTTAATTATGTCATAGGCAAAGGAGGAAATGGTTCTAATAGCAATACAGGGATTTTTACAATCGGTAATAGCACTGGTCAGTGACAGGAATATTTTTTACTCATTCTTTGTATAGTAGCTCCACAAACTCAAAGTCAGAACGCACTGACGTCACGTTGTTTCCTAAATTAAATTCCTGCCTTAATAATGCAGTTCTATTTTGAAAAGGATCTTAAGAAAAGCTATATCACAGGCCACAAAAGGCATAATTAGAAAATGTTTCCTAATAGTCAGTTAATCATTGAAATAAAATAGGCATATAAAGAAATTCCCTGAAATGCCTCTGGAGAAATAATCTATTTCTAATTCTACTTCCCCTTCTATTTCTTGGATTTGTTTCCTTTCCATAAAACTTGTAGCTAGCTAGCTAACTACCTGATTTATGTTCCCACATCCTACTTGCCTAGTCATAAGTCATTCTTACGTTTCAATTTTCTGTAATTTTTGGAAACATTTCTGGCACTGTACTTCATGAAAACAAACAGTACTTGGAGTATATTCTCACCATTAAGACTAGAGGAGTACAATTTTCAGCTGAATTCACAGCAATAGTATGAACTACTCAGAGCAAAATACAGAGCCCTCGAACCCCACAGGGGCAAACAGAAAACCCAGGTTCAAGTCCCTACTCCTGGGCCTCACGCTCTCAGGTTGAAAGCTTAGGAAAGAATAAGAAATAAGGCATATTTCATTCCCCTAAAACAGACGGTGGGTTCTAATATACTTTCTGCATGTGTGCAGTGATTGTTCACAACTTTTTACTGAAGTATATTCATACAGAAGAGTTTTTTGTAACTTGCTAATTTATAACTTTATTCTTAAACTCAAAATTTATTTCACAAATATTCAATAGATTCATGTAACACGGGATAAACATTGTGGCATTGCAAAGATTAACAGGATATAATCTTTGTTCTCAGATGCTTAGCATCTACTAGGAAGAGAGGGAAAAATTCAACAGGAGATAACAGATGAAGAGCTAAGGGAATTCAGAGGGGGCAATATTAATTTTCAGCCAAGAGGAACAATAAATAATTTATCAGAGGACATGGTTATTAAGGCTGGGTCTTACTTTCCCTCATAAAATGTTTTCGTTGAGATATACTTGACATGCCAGAAAATTCACCCTTTAAAAAAGTATACAATTCACTGGTTTCTTTTAGTATATTCATAAAGTTGCACAGCCATCACCAATGATTCCATAATATTTTAACTGTCTCCAAAAGAACTCCTGTACTTTTAGCAGGCACTCCCCATTTTCCCCTACCTCTAGCCCCTGGCAACCACTAATCTACTTTTGGTCTTTATGGATTTGCCTATTCTGTATATTTCACATAAATGGAATCAGATGATATGTGGCCTTTTGTATCTGGCTAGTTTCACTTAGCATAATGTTTTCAAGGTACATCCAAGTTGTAAGGCCT